GGGTGTCACGCGCAGGCCCGGCCCGGCCGGACGGAGGCTCACCATGACGGCAATGCCGGAGAACAGCACCGCGGAGACCAACTGCCAGACCCTGGGGACGCGGAGAGGAAGGTCACGCCCCCAGCCCGGCCCTGCGGTCACCGCAGGCCCGGGGGTCCCCACTCCCGCCAGCCGAGATGCCCAGGGCTGGCTGGCTCGGGGGCGGCCAGTCGTGGCGAGACGACGGGGCCTGACAGGGCCCGGCCTGAGGAGGTCTTATGCGTCCCCACCCCCACCCACGACCCTGTCCCCGCCAAAAACTCAGGGAAGCGCTCACCTGAGCCCCAGAGGCTCTCGAACCGCAAACTTGATCTCGTTGCCCAAGACCTGGCTGATCTGTGGACACAGTGGGGTCAGAGGCGATGAGGGTGGGGGCCGCTCCCAGCACCCCACCACTCGCCCTCCCAAGCCCCACAGGCCCAGGGACCCCAGGCTGAGAGGGTCGCCCTGAGGCTGCCTCCGCTTGACCCTGGGGCCTGGGAGCCGAATGCGGTGAAAGAAGTGAAGACTCAGGGCCGGCCAGACACGGCTCCGGAGTCCGGTTCACCCACGCCACGGCCTCGGGCGACGGCTCGACCTCCCTGAGCCTCAGCTGCCTCACCTATAAGATGGGCTAATCGTCGTGCAGTGTGCCTGTGCCAGTGCCAGCAAGACGATTAGAAAGAGCGTACGAGCCGGGCTCGGCAGCTCAGCCTGTCACCCCGCGCCTTTGGGAGGCTGAGGTGAGCGGATTGCCTGAGCCCGCGGGTTCGAGACCCGCCTGGGCAGCGAGACCTCATCTCTACAATAATCAAAAAATGAGCTGGGCGTGGTAGCGCGCCTGTAATTCCGGCTACTGGGAAGGCTGAGGCGGAAGGATCGCCGGAGCCCGGCGGGTCGAGGCTGCGGTGGCCGGGAGTGGCAACTGCACTCCAGTCTGGGCGACATAGTGAGACTCCAACTCAAAAAAAAAGAAAGTGCGTACGAGGCCGCGGCTGCCACCCCGCACGTCACAGGCGCCCAACGATTGCTGACACCGTGTCCCGCTGTTATCCCCGACACCTCCGTTCCACTTCCAGAGATACCAGCTAAGCCCCGACGCCTGCAGCCACGTGGGCCTGGGACTCCTCCCCACCAGGGGGCTCAGCCCAGCTGCCCAGCAGCTGGGAGGCAGTGGCAGGCAGCCCTGCCCGCCGGCCCACCTTGGAGCGGTGCACCTCCCCATCGTCGTCCTCGCCGCCCACGCCCAGGATCTTGCGGGTCTTCAGACGGCTCACCAGGTCCGTCTGGCTGTGCTTCTTCATCAGCGGCGGGGGCTGCTTGGCCGCCATGTCGACGGGGCGCCCCTGCAGAGGGCTGAGGGAGACCCTGCCTCAGAGCCCCGTCCCGGCCAGGTCCAGACCAGGGGAGGGTCCCGGTAGTCGGGGAAAGCCAGACCCCCATCTCAGGCCTGCTGGGCCTCCCCGCAGTCCAGGACAGCCAGGGAGCAGCCAGCCTCAGCCTCCTCGTCCGTCAGATGGGTTGGGGGAAGGCGCCTCCGGTTCTGGGATCGCGACTGGCCCCAGGGGACCGGCACACCCCATCTGGCCAGACTGGGTGGAGCCTTCCAGCCTGGAGTGGGGCCCAGGAAAGGGCGTTGGACTGAATGGTGGCCACACCCAAGCTTCCTGGGGGCGCGAGGAGGGGAGGGTCAGCCGAGCCTGGGAGCCTGAGTTCTGAAGTCTGGCCCCCGCTGGACTCCTGCCCAGACAGTCCCGGCGTGGCATGCCGCCTCCCTCCTATCTTCCCGACAGCCTCTCAACCAGCCGGACCCCGCGGAGCTAGAGAAGGCCGGCCAGGGCTGGCTGCCCAGTCGCCCTGCCCAGGCTTGGCCCCGCCGGGCCCTGCCCCTGCCCCAGGACCCCGACACCCCAGCAACGCCTGGGCAGGGAGGTGAGCACCTGCTGCAGGCCAGGCCCCGCGCTGGGGACGGAGCCGTGGAGATAGGCTGTGCGCCGTCGAGGCTTCAGTCACGCCGGGTCTAGGCAGAGGAGACAGGTGTCAATCCGGGGGCGGAAGCCTCAGGCTGGCCCCAGTGTCCTGGGTCCTGCGGTCACAGCCACCTTGCTAGACGACACCGTGTCGGCCGAGGCCACACGAGGAGACCTGGCTTCCCAGGGTGTGATGACAGAAGGGTCCCCGCACTGCGGCCACACCCCCGCCTGGCAGTGCCACAGACACCCACCCGTGGACACACAGGCTGGGACGCTGCTGCCTGTCCTCAGCAGGGACACTGGGTCTCAGAGCCGCATGGCCCCGGGCAAAGCTCAGTCTCTCAGCCCCACCCAGGGGCAGATTGGGAATGTCCCCAGGAATGTAGAAATGCCCCCAGGTCACCTCCTGCTTATCTTAAAACAAAATAAAGCGCCCAAACAACCACCTGGACAGAGACTCCCACGGTGACACACCGCTTTAGAGGGGCCAATGAGGGAGACGGCAGACATGGACATGACCGGAAGTCCACACTGGGGTCCTTGGTGAAAGTCATGTAAGGCCACACTCCCTCATCTGTAAACGGAGGGTGACTATCCACGTCCCTTCCCCCACAGAAACCCTGGAGAGACGGTGACACCAGGCCCACGCCCTGCCCACTGAGGCTCTGGTTAACACTGCCATCAGGACAGGCAGGCGGCCAACCCCACCTGCCGGGGAAGCCGAGGTCTCACCTCTCATGCCACGGGGCACTGTCCCAACACCCTCCTGTGGATCCAGGGAGAAGCTATAATCAGCCCGTCCCTCCTGCTGCCGGGCAAGGCTGCCCCAGAGCCAGGAGCACCGTGTGAAGAGCCCAGAGCCAGCTCTCGTCCTCAGATGTGGCCTGGCCCTCACCCTTCCTCTCCTGGCCTCCCCTCTGGCCTTTGACGTTTGGATGCACACAGCAAAATTGGCCATTTTGGGTGTACGGTGATGTGAATTTTAGCACACAGAGAAAGTTTCAGGTAGCCACCAGCTCCACATCTGAACGGCCCATGCCACCCGGCCACACTGCCCCCAGCCTCGGCCTGGCAACCCCCCACGTCTGCCCCGCAGGACGCGTCTGTGTGTGTTCCCCAATACGCCACCTAACCGGAGCACTAAGGCGTGTGAGCTCACGAGACTGGTCTCTTCCCTCCACCAAACACCTCTGAGACCCATCCAAGCCGCCAGGTGCGACAGCCCCGTTCCTTGTACGAGGGCGTGTGTTCCATGGGGTAGACGTGCCCTTCTGTGTCTCCGCTCGCTCACAAAGGTCACGGGGCTTTCCATTTTGGTCATCGTGAACAGAGCCATTGTGTTTACAGCGTGCACGGGTTTCTGTGGGGCCACACGGTTTTGCCCCCTAAAGGCAAACACCGGGATGGGACGGCTGCGATGGACGTGACATCTCCGCTGAGCCTTTGGCAAAAGTGCTGAATGTTCCCCAGAGCGCTGCACGAGCGCCCCAGCTCCTCTGCCTCTCGCCAATACCTACCGCGCTCGGTCGTTATCTTTGCCCCTCCCTTGGGTCCTCCTGGCTTTTCAGCCTCACCCAGGCTGGGCGTGCTGCCCCCCTCAGCCCCGCTCTCCCCTTTGGGCCGTGTGACTTGTGCTCTGAGGCTGTTTCCCCATCTGGGAGGAGGCGCTGCCATCCCCACCTCCCAGGGGTGTCGGGTCAGTCAGAGCACTCAGCACAGCAACTGTGCACGTGCATGAAGAAAAGCGTCCAGTGAGGCCTGCTCTGAGCCGGCTCAGTGGGCGGTGGGACAGCCCCTGCCCTGAAGGGGCTCCCACGGGGGCGGGGAGAGTGGCCTGTTCTCCACTGACTGGGACAAGTTACTGTTCCTTCTCCTCTGAGAGCTCGTGTTGGCATCTGTGAAATGAAAACCAGCACCCTGATTTCTCCCCTAGCGCCAGAGTGAGGAGAAGCAAAATTAAAGCCAGGAGCACTTCATCAAGAGCCAGTGACTGCCGCAGCCAGAAGGCCGGACGGCCGAGGCCTGACTGCTGAGGCCACGCTCTGGGTTCGAATCCCAACTCTGCCATTTCCTAACTGTGAGTCTGTGGGCAAATGACTTAACCTCCATGTGCCTCAGTCTCCCCATCTGCAGCTGGCAAAACAAGGGGTCTTCTCTCCTAGAGACAGCCTGAGCGCAAAAGACGCCACCTCCGGGAAGCTCGAGGGGCAGGGCCCAGCCCATAAGCAACGCTTATGAAGACAGACACGGCCACGCTCCCCAGGCCTCCCACACGCAGAGGCCCGGGATAGAGGCAGTGAGTGGACAGGCAGGTGACCTGGCGCGGAAGCCCCAGGCCTCAGTCCCAGGACGTAAGGTTGGCGGTCGCCGCCCCCCAGGCCTGGGCTGTCAGTGACCGAGTCACACACTTCCAGCATGAGAAGCACTGGTCTCTCTGCCTGTCGGTTCTCCCCACCAACACACACACGCACACACGTGCACACGCACACACGAGCTCCCCTCTACACACAGGCCCAAGTCGCGACAGCTGCTACAAAGGCCATGGGCCTGTCAGTGCCCACCTGCCGGGCTGCGTACACAGTGGGCACCGCAGTGCCCTAGGCGGCTTCCTTGTGGGTGTGACACACTTTGCCCACAGGCACTGCCATAGGTACCTGGGCCGGGGGACCCACCATGGCCACGCAGAGCCCGGCCCCAGCAGGGAGCTCGTCTCCAACAAAGGGTCCCTGGGGCCTCCCCGGAGAAGGGCGCCTTGACCCTTAACTCCAGGGAGGTCCGCCCACCCCCAGCACCCTCCAGGGAGGTCCTGCCCCTGCCTCACCCCCAGGCCGGGGCCCAGCAAGCTCAGACCCACCCACCAGCCCAAGGCAACCCATGCCCACACCCTCAGGCCTCCCCTGGGCCTCTCCTCCTTCAAGGCCACTCCAGCTGTTTGTTTTAGGCTTGGCACCACCACTGCAGCCCACGTGAAGACAAAGGGCACCTCCCAGCCTACCCTGCACCCTGGCCAAACACCGCACAGGGCAGAGGACCAGGTCTGAATCTTGGCTCTGCCTTACCGGCCGCAGGGCTTTGAGCAAATCACCACAGCTCTCTGGGCCTGTTTTCCTTCCTGCAAAATGGAGGTAGTGAGAACCCCACCTCGCAGAAGTGGACAGAGGGAGGGAGCTAGTGCAGATGGGAGACGGAGGAAGGGAGAGAGATGGAAGGAGTGCCCGTGGGTGCCTGAGGTCAAGCGCCCACCCAGGGGGCTGGACCCCTTCCTCTTCCCTTTCTTGGCTCAGCCACGCACAGCGGGAAAAGCCAGTGGGTGCAGTGGGCCTCCTGTCCCACCCAGCCGCCCTCTGAAGGGACCCAGAGCTGCCCGGGGTCAGGCTGCTGGAGGCAGAGGGCAGGGCAGAAAGGAGGGATGAGCCCACCACACACACCTGTCAGGCCAGAAGGGAGGATGTGGTCCTCAGGCCCTGGAACAGCGAGCCTCGGCCTTTTGCCCGGGCCAGAGCCGCTCTGACCCGTTTCAACAGTGGCTCCACTGAGGGGTCATCACCCAAGGGACGGTCCTCCCTGACACTCTGCCCCGCCCTCCGTCCCAGGATGCAGCGCCCTCTCCTTCCTCCCTGCTCTCACAGGTCTCCCTGCCAGCGGCCACTGGCCACCCCTGGCCCACAGCACTCCTGGTCATTCTGTGAGTTTGGTTCCTGGGCTGAGCCGTCTGAAGGTGAGGCTGGCTCCATGCGTACCCTGGCATCTCCCCCCTGGGCCAGGGCGCACACTAGGTGTTTTGTCAACACAGTGGGAGCGCGGCTGGGCCAGCCCCAACCAGAGCCTCAGAGTCCCACATGGGCGGATGTGGGGCCGAGGGGAGGCTCTGCTCCAAACGCACTCTTGACAGCAGAAAACCGAGACCCCGAGGGGGATTCTGGCCCAGGCCTCACAGGGCAGGAGGTGGGCAGAGCTGGGCTGACTCTGACCAGCCCCCACAGGTCAGTCAGCTGTAAACCAGCCCTTCCCCCGGGCCCTCAGTCCAATGGGAATCACACAGCAGTCCTCACCCAAGGGTGCCGAAGACCCCAGGAGAGCGGGTGGGAAGGCCTTTGGCAGAGGGGGCCTGGCGGAGTTAGAGGATGAGGTAGGAACACTCGGCCCCCACGTTGTCTGCTGTCTCCGAAAGGTACTAGGAGGCGAGGGCCCTGGGGCAGGGATTCCTTTGGGTTGTGTTCCCTGGGCAAGCGCCCAGGACAGGGATTTTAGGTCTTCTCTGGCTGAGTGCCCGGGGTAGGGATTTCTTTAGGTCTTGCTCTCCAGGCAAGTGCCCTGGGGCAGGGATTCCTTTGGGTCTTGTTCTCCGGGTGAGTGCCCCGGGGCAGGATTCCTTTAGGTCTTCTCCTGGAGAGCCCCCCAGGAAGGGGATTCTTTAGGTCTTGTTCTCTGGGCAAGTGCCCCAGGACAGAGATGTATTTAGGTCTCCTGGAGGGTGCCCCAGGAAGGGATTTCTTAAGGACTCCTTCTCCTGGCAAGGGCCTCAGGTCAGAGATTCCTTTAGGTCTTGCTCTCCAGGGGAGGGTCATGAGCAGGGATTTCTTTCCGTCTTGTTCTCTGGGATTCCTTAGGTCTTGCTCTCCAGGCAAGTGCCCCGGAGCAGGGATTCCTTGAGGTCTTGTTCTCCGGGCCTCAGACAGTTCCCGGCGCACCTGGAGCTTGGGAGCAGCTGAGAGGCTTCTCCAGCCTGGTCTCCTCCCTGCCTCCCTTCCACCTCCTCCCTGCCGCGGAATCTGAGGCCGGACGAGGGCAACTCCACTTGGCTCCCAGCAGCCGTGAGACAGGGAGCACCATGACAGCCGCAAGCAAAGCCCCCCGAGGCTGACCCAGGACAAGAAGAGAGGGGCTTATCAGAGGGTTCGAGAGTCAGGAGGATGAGAGTGGGGGGTAGTATAATGATTGGGGAAACGGGTCCTAATCCCAACTCTGCTCTGTGACCTCAGGAAAGTTCCCTAACCTCTCTGGGCCTCCCTG